AAGAAAACATTCACAAATTTCTTTTCTAAGCTTGTTGGGGTTCGACCATTTAGGGGTGTATACCTAGAGGACATTTTTGATAACATGTTCATGGCTTAAATGCTCATATAAAATGGTTGATCCTTAAATCAGACTTTAGACTATACTTCCCTATACATCACATTCGGCCATTTTAGGTTTAGGTTGTTTAGCCAATGTTTTGAAGATTTGGAGAGTGCATGCATATCATTTAAGTTCGGCCATGTAGAGATGGTATAAAATAGGAGATGATTTCTAGGATGATAGATGCATGCATGGCTTTATTAGTCCAAGATCTAGTCATGTAGAGTGGTTAGGGTTCATTCTACTAGCTTGAAGAGATGAGGTCTTACCTTAATGATGATAATACAACTTTATCTAAGGCTTCACACGTGATCTTCAAGGAGCCTTGAGTTGAGAGTTGCTTCCAACAACCTCTTGGTCTCTTGCTACACAAAGAGAGTGGAAACTTAGGGATCCTTAGTCTACACCAAACGAAATGAGGTGAAGCCTTTACCTTACCTATGTGGGTGAAGACAAGAGGGTTTGGAGAGCTTAGAATAATTTTGAGATGATCCTAGGTCCTTGAACTTGCTATGGCCGAGGCTTAGGAGTAGAGAAGGATGAAGTGTTTGAGTATTTTACTTGCTTGGTTTGTTTGGGAAAGGGATGGCCGAAGCCAAGGTGTGAGGGAGAAGGATTCTTTGTCTTGATGCTTAGTGCTTCGCGGCCTTAGGGGGAGGAGGAAGCTCTTTGCTTGTTCTTTTATTCAAGCCTAGTCATCATTTCCTTGGGGTATTAGGTTAGAGGTGCTTGAGTGTTACTTGAGAGTGTGGAGGAAGTTATTCACATGCATTGGTGGTGAGTGAGTGATGCTTGAGTGTGAGACATCTTTCCTTGTCTTTGTTGATGGAATGGCCGAACATGTAAAGGGAGAAGAGATGGTTGTTCTTTGTGACCTTTGCATGTATTACACTTGGCATTTGTTTGGTCTTGGTGAGAGGTTTGAGTGGGAGAAAAGCAATCCTTGCTTGCCTTAGTTGATGGCCGTGACATAGGGGAAAGAGGGAAGATATTTTCCTAATTTTTTATTCAAGTCTATTCATGGTGAAAGCTCATAATTCAAGGAGGGTTGAGTGTGAATTTGAACTAGGGTTTCCTTGCTTCCTTTGTTGTTTGGCCAAGGTTGAGAGGAAGTGAAGAGTTTGGTCATGTGACTCCTTGGTGACCGTGTGTGCCTAGGGAGAAGGAGAAAAGGTGGCTTCACCTTTTTAATCATGCATTGGGGAAGACTTGTGCGCCTAGGGAAGAGGGAAAGTGAGCCTACTTTTATGAAGGGAATCTTGGTTTATGTTCCCTTGATGTGTTACCTTGGGAGATGGAAAGACTTGTGTCATGCATGGTTTGAGTGTGTAAGAAGGAAGCTTTCCTTTTCTTGTCATGTGTGCGCCCTCCAAGGTAGCTTAAGGGAAAGTAATGTTGCTTTTGGTTAAAGTAAGTCACATGCATTGGTTAGGTTTGGAGTATTTCTTACACAAACTCCTTCATCACTTTTCCTTCCTTATTTAGCGCCTAGGGGAATGTGAACACAACTTCCTTTCCTTCTCTCCTTGTCATGGCCGAAGTTATCATGTGGGGAGGTGTAACTTCATACAAATTCTTCCTATCATGTGTTGCCACCTCATCTAGGGCTTATCTTTGAATTGGATTGGGCATAGTGGTGTTTTCGGCCCACTAGTGTTGATGGAGAGGTTTGATCATTAGTAAATGGGCTTAGGCTTTGTTTGAGTGGTGTGGGCTTGGGTCTTTATGTACTTACTAATTGGGCTATTCCTTATTCAATTCATAAAATGGGCTTGCATTGCTTTGGGCTTATATCCTTTCTCACTTGATCTTAACTTATTTATATTCTTAAGTGGGTTGGGCTATGACATTGTTTGGGCTTTAAACCACATTGGGTTAAGTTACTACTTATCTTATTTAAAATGGGTTCTAACTTAGGACTAATGTTGCTTATTCAAAGCTACTCGTTCACTGAATATGGACTTGATCCCTTTTCATTTCATTTCATTAGGCTAATTTCGAGTACAAGATTTTTGGGTTATTACATCCACCCTACCTAATAAAATTTTCGTCCCGAAAATTACAAACATTCTAAATCGGGATACTTTTGCCGGATCTCGTCTTCTCGCTCCCAGGTTGCTTCTTCGGTAGTCCTTCCTTGCCATTGTACCTTTACCATTGGTATCACCTTACTGCGAAGGCGCTTCTCTTCTCTGTCTAGAATTTTGTAGGGTACTACCGGAATCTTCAAGTTGGGTCTTACTTCCACAGCATCCGGTAACACCACATGTGAGGGATCTACCAAATATTTCTTTAATTGGCTTACATGGAATACATCGTGAAGATTTGCCAGATTGGGTGGTAATGCTAACTGATAGGCTACTGGTCCTACCCTTTTCAGAATCTGATAGGGACCGATATAGCGTGGGCTTAACTTCTTTACACCGAGAGCTCTACCAACACCAGTAACAGGGGAGAGCTTGATGAACACATGATCCCCTACTTCAAATTCTAGGGGTCGGTGCTTCAAGTCATAATAACTTTTCTGCCGATCTTGGGCTTTCCGCAACCTGTCGCGGATCATCTTAATCTGCTCTGTCGTTTCTTTCACCATGTCCGGCCCGAACATTTCTCTGTCACCCACTTCTTCCCAGTATACAGGTGTACGACACCTCCTTCCATAAAGTGCTTCATACGGGGCCATACCGATACTGGCATGATAACTGTTATTGTAAGAGAATTCTGCCAATGGCAGATACTGATCCCAACAACCTTCCTTCTCTAAAGCGCAGGCTCTTAACATGTCTTCAAGTGTTTGTATTGTTCTTTCTGTCTGCCCATCTGTTTGGGGGTGATATGCCGTGCTCAATCGCAGTTGGGTCCCAAACGCCTACTGTAATGAATACCAGAACCGGGACGTAAACTTAGGATCCCGATCACTGATTATGCTTTCAGGGACGCCATGTAATCTTACAATCTCTTTTACATAAATCTGAGCCAATTTCTCTGTCGTGTAAGTTCCTTTTACCGGTATAAAGTGAGCTGATTTGGTCAATCTGTCGACCACTACCCAGATGGCATCATAGCCTGCTTGAGTCCTGGGTAGGCTGGTTACGAAGTCCATAGATATACTCTGCCATTTCCACTCGGGGATGCTCAAGGGCTGTAGGGTGCCTGCCGGCCGCTGATGCTCAATCTTTACTTTCTGACACACCATGCACTTGCTTACATATCTTCCCACATCTCTCTTCATTCCTTTCCACCAGAAATTCTTTTTCAAGTCTGCGTACATCTTGGTGGCTCCTGGGTGTATTGAGTATTGGCTCTTATGTGCTAGCTCCATGACTTCCTCTCTCAAGAGCTTCGTAGGGACAACTATTCTCCCTTGGAAGGTAATTATACCTTGCTGGTTCAGGCTCACACCAGATTGATTCCTTAGCCTCTTTAAACAGTCGACGGCTTGCTGAGCCTGTTTGATCTTTTCTAGTAGTTCGTCGGTGATCTGCACCGCCCAATACTCGGCCTCGCATTCGCTATTCATCACTGCTAGGCCTAAGTTTCGGAAGTCCTCTATCAGTTGATGCTCGGCTATCATCATGCTTGTGACCATTCTGGTTTTTCTGCTCAAGGCATCTGCAACTACGTTCGCCTTGCCGGGATGGTATTGCAATTCAAAGTTGTAGTCCTTTATGAACTCCATCCAACGACGCTGTCTCATGTTCAGTTCTTTTTGATCGAACAAGTACTTGAGGCTCTTGTGATCGCTATAAACTGTTGTGGTTGCACCGTACAGGTGATGACGCCATATCTTCAGGGCAAACACGATTGCTGCTAGTTCTAGATCGTGAGTGGGGTAGTTTTCTTCATGCGGCTTCAACTGTCGGGATGCATATGCTACTGGTCTGCCATGCTGCATTAGTACACATCCCAAGCCTATCTTGGAGGCATCACAGTATACCTCAAATGGTTCCTCCGGGTCTGGCAGTGTCAGTACTGGAGCTGTAGTCAACATTCTCTTTAACTCTTGGAAACAAGCTTCACATTCCTCGGTCCACACAAAAGGGACCTGCTTTCTTGTCAATCGGGTAAGTGGCAATACCCGCTTCGAGAATCCTTCAATGAATCTCCGATAGTATCCTGCTAGTCCAAGGAAGCTCCTTATCTCTGTGACAGTCTTTGGTCGTTCCCAATCTACTACTGCTTCAATCTTGCTGGGATCCACTGCTACTCCTTTCTCTGAAATTACATGTCCAAGAAACTGAATCTCTGGCAACCAGAATTCACACTTTGATGGTTTCGCATACAGTTGTTTCTCCCGCAATACCTGTAGCACAATTCTCAAGTGTTCTTTATGCTCCTCTTTGCTCTTCGAGTATATCAGTATGTCATCGATGAATACGACCACGAATCGATCCAAGTAAGGTTGGAAGATCTGGTTCATGTAGCTCATGAATACTGCCGGGGCATTAGTCAATCCGAAGGGAATGACCAAGTACTCATAGTGCCCGTATCTTGATCTGAAAGCTGTCTTCGGGATGTCCTCCGGTTTGATCCGTATCTGATGATATCCTGATCGAAGATCAATCTTCGAAAACACCTTTGCACCTCTTAACTGATCAATTAAGTCCTCGATACGAGGCAATGGGTATTTGTTCTTGACAGTCACTTTATTGAGTTGCCGATAGTCTGTGCAAAGTCTCATTGATCCGTCCTTCTTCCTTACGAATAGAACTGGTGCTCCCCACGGGGATACACTGGGTCGGATGAAATTCTTCCCTAGCAGGTCTTTTAATTGCTTCTTCAATTCTACCAATTCAAGGGGAGACATACGGTAGGGTGCAATTGAGATAGGTCCAGTCCCGGGAATAAGTTCAATAGAAAACTCCACTTCCCTTTCAGGGGGAAAGGTGGTAATGTCGTCAGGAAATACATCCTCGAATTCTTTGACCACGGGAATGTTCATCAACGGGATCTCGCTCGCACCTACTAGACCGGCTATTAGCATGAAAGTGCAATCTCCCGATTCGACCGGTGGAGTATTGGGGAGTGGGGTCCCCATCATATCCCCGCCGACTATTATACTTCGGCTGTTACAATCAATTACTACGTGTTGTTTGGCCAGCCAATCCATTCCCAAAATCAGGTTCAGTTTGGCTAAGGGGAGGATTATGAAGTCTTGGTTGTACTTCTTTCCTTTGTATCTGAATTCTACACCTCTACATGTGAAGTGAGACACTGTCACTTCCCCCGTCGCAGAGGTGACTTGCATAGGGGATTGCATTGGGCTCATAGTTAGGTTAAAGGCTTTTGCCACATAATCAGCAATGAAGGAATTGGTCGCACCAGAGTCAAATAAAACAGATAGTTCTTCATCACATATATTGATCGTACCTTTAACTAGTTCGGCCGCCTGGTCCGCCACATGTTGATCCAGCGTGTACACTCTGCCCACTCTTGGCGCCTCAGCGGCTGTCTGTTGTTCTCCCCATTGTGGACAATCTTTGATGAAGTGTCCTTCTTGGCCGCACTTGTAACATTGTGTCGACCCATTCAAACAGTTGCCAAAATGGGCCTTCTTACATTTGGGGCAATTGGGAGCCCTATTGCCGTTTCCTCGAGGATTCCCGGGCCTCTTGAACTTATTACCATCACGCCTGGGCTGCCACGGTCTGCCTTCGCGTTTTCCTCTCCATTGTCCATTCTTAGCCATCGGAGCTTTGGTTCCAGATCCGCTGGTCTCTGCAGGCTTCCTTGCTTGCAATCCTATCGCTTCCACCTTTCTACATCTGTTCACCAGGGTGGCTAGGTCACAGGGGTCATTGCCAGCTACCAGTTCCGCAATCCTAGCGGATAAACCCCTTTGAAATTTTGCTGCCAGGAAGTCTGGCATGGGCATAGTTCCTCGGTAAGTTGCCAGTCGGAGTAGTTCGTTGAATTTAGCATGATACTGATCCACCGTCATGGTTCCTTGCACGAGTCGATCAAACTCGCCTTGCTTGCTATCCCGGATTGACATCGGGAAATACTTCTCCAAGAACAACTGCACAGCTACTATTGGATCGTGTCCTCCTTGAAAGGAGGGTGGCTTGTGCTTCCTAAATGTCAGCAGTAGATCTTGATTATTTCGGCCAGCCGCTCCATGTTCTGGCTGCGGTTGGGGTCCGCCACTACCTGTTCCTCCAGTGCCTGAGCCACTTGCGACGTTATTATTATTGGTCGCGTTGTGAGGGTGGCGCCTGATTTCATTCAGAATATTTTGGAACATTTCCCCTGCATTAGTCTGCATCTGGGTAATGGTGTCCCGT